CGTCAACAAGAACATGAAGATTATTGAAACGCAAGTGTGGAACATAACCTCAAAACGAGGTTAAGTAGGATACATTTTTATCTGAACAATTTTTCGTTGATTATCTTTGCATCACCCGTTCACTTCTGAAGTGGGTTTCACATATTTCGAAATATCTTATATATTACGTATATATATGTAGATATGAAAGTATTAACAATTAAATATGTAAGATATATTATTATAATATTTAATGCGAGAGAGTTTGTGTGTGTGCTGCGTGAAAAAGAGAGAAAGAGAGAGAGAGTAATAAAATACATGCCAAGCATGTTCTTTGCGTGATAATCTAGTGAAAAATAGTGGCGGGAAGTTTAAACAAAGAAACAAAAGAATGTGAAAAGAGATGAAAGAATAAATAGGGAAGAAAGTCGGAGTAATAATAAATAAATAATTAAATAAATACGACGAAATATAATATTCGACGAAAATAATAAAAAAACACACACACGTTCATTGATACATATATACGTACATAAACATTAAAACTAAACATTGCATGGTACCTAAGTGTCTGTTTGTCTACTAAATGTCTGTTTATCTGTCTGTCTATTCTTAGTATATAAGCGTTAATATTATGCGATATATATATATATATATATATATATTATATATATATATTAACTTTTCAAATCTTTCTACTTGTGTGAGAGGAAAAAAAAAAATAAGTAATAATAGTAATATAAATAAGTTAAATGAAACTCTGAGAGCAACGGCAAGAATAACAAAAAAAAAAAAAAATGAAACAATGGGGGATCGTTAAGGGGAAAAAAAAAAAAGAAATATTTGAACTGATAACGTTTGAGATTGTATTGAAGAAAAAAAAAAAAAGTCATTTGCTAAAAGAAAATAAAATAAAATAAAATAAAATGCGAATAGGAATGAAATGATTTAAATGAAAATAATTTGGGGTAAGAGTTTTTGTTTCGGGGATATGATAGAACGGGGTTAACGATTAGAAAAGAAAAATAAGAACAAAAGTAGGGATTTATTATTAGAATGAGCGAAATAAAAAAAAGAAAAAAAACAAAAACAATACACAACAAAATAGTAAAACAAAAGGAAGAAATATGTGTGGTAAATGATTAACGGTTGTTGTAGGGTTGTGGAGTTGCGAAGGGTAGCTGAGGGTGAAATCATACGTGAGTAAAACAAAAAGAAAAATTAAATAAAATTACGTAAAAAAAAAAAAAAAAAAAAGAAAAGAAAAAAAAAACAAGTAACATAACATAAAATAAAATACGCTGCATTCTTAGCAGAATTAATGTGATTAACTTGTGCCACTTGTATACCGCGAGACCTTTATCTAACTATTATGTCATCGCGGGGCGTTCATGAGGGGTGAGGAGGGTGAATTAAAAAAAAAAAAAAAAAAAAAAATAGAAAAAAAATGTGAAAAAAAAAAAAAGAAAAAGAAAGAAAGAAAGAAA